AGGGCGCTAGCGCAGGGACCCCGAACGGCGGGAGTTTACAAAACGCTGCCACGAGGCTTTAATCAGTGCAATGATCCGAAGATACCGTCCCCTCCAATCAGCGGGCTTCCTGTCAGTCACACACGACTGAACCCGACCAATCAGGCTCCGTCGAGGGTCCAGACAGGCCGGCTGGGCTTTGGGCTGCAGCCAAACAAGAAATTACTCATCTAAACTGGAAAGGTGGAATGGGGCTTTAATTCAGAGCGAAGAGGGACGAGGTGATAGATTTGTCAAAGGTTGGACATAAAAGACCACAGGATCATGTTCTACAAAGGTCCATCAGAAACATATGGGAGGAGGATTACAGACACAGGGGAGCTGTGAAGGAAGACTTCATCACATTTATCAGATGAAGTTTCTGCAAGTTTAGGCAGTAAAACTGGGTGATAGACATCAAATCTGTTGCAAAATTAAGTCCCTCATTAAAACCTTTAAGAAGAACATGAGAGGCTCATTAAAAGTTCAGTCAATCTGCGATATAAACTTAATAATAATCACATCTGTTTGCTGCCACCCAAAAAACTTTCCATCTATTCTACAATCTGTCTCTTTTTCTCAGAGTCTTGCATATCTGCTGTTGGCACTCAAACACCTCTCTAATTACAATTACAACACCCAAGGGGGCTTTGTGCAATACTTGCCAACAAAAAGAAAAAGAAAACCAAGGCGAGAAATAGCATCAAACTTACCGTTAAAACATCATTTGAACTCCCTGCATGTAAAACAGGCGGGTAAACTTTAAAATTACCAGAAGCTGCTTTTTCATACCTGCATTTTACTCAACAAGGGAAAGAGGAGGGCAATGCATTAACTTAAAAGTGAGCGGAAAAAATGCAAATGTAGTCCACTTTATCATCAGGCATTCAAACAGACACTTTCAACTCAGTAATCCATAATTATTTTTCTTTTTGCTTTGATGCTGAGGAAACGGCTACAGTTTGATGGTAAAACTGAGCTGGATTCTGTTGTAGTTCTTATAAGAGTCGCACTGGTGTGACTGGCGGGGCTACACACACACACACACACTGTGCATGTTAAAACCACATGCAGCGTCTTGGCAGCAAAGACGCTACAGCGGCAGCCAATCAATAAAACCTTGTTACGCTAATTGCAAGATCATAATCTCCGTTCCTACTTCTGCTGAATATCCAAACAGTCGCTCCATTAGCCGAATTATTCCCCTGTGCAGTTTCTCCATCTCCCCTCCTCCTCCTCCCTCACTCTTCCTTCCACTGCCTCCCATTTCCTCCACGATTTTCCTCTGACATATTTCTCTCAAACAGCAGTTTTTGCTAAATGAATTCATAAGTCAGGGAGAAAGACATCAAAGCAAAGCATTGTCAAGGTAAAGTGCTGATGAAGTATACCGTTTCTTTCACTTTGCTGCTATGAGAGGGCATCTCTCTACAGTGAATTATCTTTGATCACATCGCTTCGTACTGCTCTGTTTGGTGCCAGCAAGAGAAATCCCACTGCAGGTGAAGGTCTAAAGATACCTGTATTGTAAGAAGAACCGTATTCCACTTCCCACTGTGGAGAGTTTGTCTCTTTTCCTGCTTGAGGGTAAGGTAAAACCTCCATGAAGAGGCCTCGAGAAAAAAAGCCGTATAGCTTCTTGTCGTCAACATCTACTCATTTCTAGTTTGTTGAAACGACAATGGTCAGTGGCCACAGGGGCAGACAAAGAGCTTGTTGATGCCAAGACCAGGGTCTGTGACCTTGTCTTTGTATCACTAACACTTTGTCACTCTGCTGCAGGAGGGAGAACGACTAGAAGAAACAGTGGAGAGAAGTAAGCAGGGTTAGACTGCGATGCTCATGGGAACATCGACATGACAATGCCACTGACCCCCTTTCCTTGTGACTCATCACAGTCTAAGCATGTCACTATCTGATGCTGTAACATGGCCAGGAGTTACTCAACAGAGCTCATTTCTTATGAAAGTGTCTGATGTACGAAATTTATATAGGTGATCCAGATTTAATAGAGCGATAAAATGAGGAGACTGAAGTGAGAGACACACTTTCACACAGTTTGGAGGTGGAACCGCTGACCCAAATGCATTTAAATTTAACGGGGGGTAAGAGAGACAAGAGGAAACATGCTGAGAAAAAGAGTAAAACGAGAGGCAGTCAGAGAGAATAAGAGAAAGAGAAGTAGAACAGTGGAGTAAGATAATAAAGCAGCAAGTGGAGAGAAGTGAGCTTAAGGCATTTGTTTTTTATTTAAGATGGAATATATTGAGAATAATTCAGCTACTGTATATGCTGCTTTCGGAGGAATAAAACTAGTTAATAAAAAATTACCCCCGCAGCCATCTTAGCCCTGTGTTACTCCAACCAAGTCCATATTTTATCACAGCAACAACACAAGCATAAACACATTTACGGTTTCTAAATGTGTTTTAACCTTCACTTTCATCAAACACTCAATGAAACAGACTTACTTCTCTAAAATATGTACTATAGAGCAGACGTATCATCATATTATCCTTTTCTTATGATGCAACACATAATAAGACATCATTCAATATGCATCCATCCCATACAACATGCTCATTTTAGGTTAAAAGTGTTCAGTTAAAAAAAGAAGTATGCTCAACAGGAAACATTAAGCATTGATGGATATACTGTTGATGTTCTCTCACACAATGTGATGCACAAAGATGTTGAGAAGCTGCTCACAGCTGGATAATATTTCAAACTCATAGTGGGTGGTTGTGGAACAGCTCAAGGAACAAGGAATAGCTTTTGAAAATTTACAGGAAACATTTGTTCTCTTTTTTGGACAGTTAGATTCTTAAATTTTAGTTTGATGACACCTGGTAGTGAACTCCACTGTTTTATTTCCTGTATTAAAAGGTTAAGTTGTTTGTTTTACATCTTTTATTTCAGCTACAAAGACAAAGCACTACAGGGTAGGTGCATTATGGAGTATGTTGTATGCAGGACTTTGGACACAAGAATGAGTGTTATTTAAAGGTCTTGCTCCAGCAGTTTCGCCACTAACAGCACTACATCTCATTATAGGATCCACAACAACCTCAAATATTATGCATTTTTTAATGCATAAGATTGTTTTTTATGGAGTATACTTAATGTCATTTAAAATGTGGACTCACTACGTACATAAAATCCGCTTAGAACACTTAGGACACTTTAAGGAGGTGCATTTCAGTTACTTTTCTATTTCCTCCATCCCTCGTTTTGTTGTCAGAGTGTGTGTCCACCCCTCAGGCCCTCCCTGATTCTAGCTGTCAGAGGGAAGGAGAAGCTAAACTTGGTGAAGCGGAGAATAGAGCAAGGCACATGTCAAATATGAGAGGATCTTGAGTAAACAAAGTATAACACAGAGCAAAGCAAAATCGTCTCTCATCCCATCACCGTCTTTCACGCTATTTCCCTCTCTCTGCCTCTTCTCTTGCTTCCCCATCTTTCTTCTTCTTCTTCTTCTCTCCCTCTCTCTCTTCGTCTATCTTCTATGCCACATTTGCGATGTTTTATCTCTCCCTCAGTAATTCAGCAAAAAACATTGTGCACATCAGCAAGACTTGTAATCAGTCAATCACCACTGCAGTAAAACTACATGTGCAGAATCGAAATGGGCAATGAAAGCAACAGTTCTTGAGATTTTTCAGTCAGCCAAGTACCAAAGCTGTCAGAAATCAGCTGAGAAATCTGTCAGATAACAGCACTATCCTCCTGAAAATCACTTTGTGGTAGATATATTTGTTGTCAGAGTTATCTAAATGAACCCAAGGAATCATGTAGAAGAAGCAACACAAGTCGCCTTGGTGCTCAGTCTGGGCCTCGAGCCATTCTTTAACAAACCGGAGCATTAAGAAATTAAGCAAAACAGCAAGTGCAACAGAAACACAGAACTACTGTAGCTTTTGGGTCACTTGTAATAATTGCAATCGACAGGGACAAATTCCCTGCTCTCCTGTGTATGTCAGATGGGCTTATTCCCAAACTCCACAAATCCCCCTGTCCAAACACAACCATATGGTCTCCCAGTTGTTGCGACCAGCTGTGCTACAGTGTATCTGGCGCGGTTGCCATGTAGTGTTGAACAGCACTGACTGACTCCCCCTTCGTTCTGACTTCATAAATCCTCTGCAATGAGGCCAGAACTCACTCAGAGAAAAGCAGCCATTTCTGCTCACCTCTTAACAAAGTGTAAACTGTGTGCACGGAGAATGCTTGCATAATGGGAAAAAATATATTAGAATTTTAGGAAGGCAGACATAGCTGCATGGTTGTTATAGACACCTCATGGACAGAAATTCCCAGCAGATTGTGTTTGGAATTCGGATATTTCTGCTTGTTAGGTTTCTCAGGATTCCTCCTATTTATCAAAAATGTAATTCTAATGTAGATTATGACCGACTAGCAATCTGTCCAGGGTATTTCAAGCCTTTAGCCCTGTGCATAGTGGAACAGATTACATTTTATAACAAATAAAGAAAGGCATATACAATTTTTAAGACGAATCAAAACTATAATTAAAAAAAGGGATACATTTAAAAATCAATATCAGTCAGTAAAACTGAATGGCGATTCAACTGATATTTAAAACCTTGTGCAAAGTAATTAAATGGTATTCAAACTTAATGTTTGAAAAGAAATGTGTTCCATTTTTCCCACACAATCACCAGTCACACTCTTATTAACATGCCTGAATCTTCAAGCCATACAGTGCAAAATGCAAGCAGCAATGTTGTTTTTAATGTCAGCAAAAAAAACTTTGGTGAACCGTCCATTCTCTTTCAGCTGACGTAAGCTGATGTATGACTCTGTGGTAGTTTCAGTAACAACAATTTGTAGTACAGCCTAACAAGCCTGAATGATGGTGGAAGGAAAATGGCTCTGCAACAACTCAGCCAACAACCACAGTGTTGCAGGGGTGAAATAAGAGGAAAAGAGAAGGTTTTCCATTAAAGGCAATTTGATCTCACCTGGTTTGGCGGGAGGAACTCGTGGTTGTTTTCATTCATGTACATGTTGTCACCATCAAACTGTAGAGAGAGGAGACAGAGAGGCATGAGAAAATAGTGGCTGACACATGACATCAGGGACAGAAAACAGAGATTTTCAGTCAGTCAGAGGCGAAACAGAAACAGTGTAACACAGAGGCCTAATGACTGCGAGTCCTCGGCTTATAGACCTCTTTGCTCTGGTGGATGTCAGTAATTACAGTTCATTAGAGACACATATAATTAGGCCCTGTCAAAGCTCGTGTAACTAGCACACTTCGTCTCAGTTTGCCTCGCAGCCTGAGACTTTAAGTGTGCGCACACCTAACTGCTATGATCCCAAGGGCGTCACAAGACGGCAAAGAGTGATAATCACGACACTGAGAGCCCAACGCTTGCCCGAAAGGCTATCTAGCTAGTAAGTCGGCTTACAAGTTGACTGGTCAGATCAAATCAGAGGCAACTTTCACATATTCAAACAGCATAAGACAGGTAAGTCAGCCAGGGGTTGACCCAGAAATTGATTTGTGCTGTGCAGCTTCTAGACTTGCCAAGGACCTACTTTCTGTTTGATTTAGACTCAGACTGTTGCTAGATGGTTTCTGTAAATGTTACTTTTTATGTGCAGCTGTGGGAGTCTCATGCATCTCAAATCTATTCCACATCACAGTATCTCTACAATAGCGGGTGTGGGTGAAACATTAGAAAAAACATCTTATTAACTCAAAGAAAACCAACCAGATGTAGATAATCTTTCTATTTAAAATCTATCAGTAGCATCGCAGACCAAATCCCAAAATAAACTTTTTCGCAAAGCCTGCTAACTAGCCACCTTGAAGGTGTTGCACACAAAAGTAAAGGTACCAATCAAGGTTTGATTGAAGTGCACCAGCCTATCAAAAAAACATTAATGTCTATCCATCGGTGGAACAGAAAGTCCAGTTGGGGTTGAGGACTGGAGCCATCGATTAGGAAGTAGCTCATTTAACTTACTGAGTACTGCCAGGGTGCCCTTGAGCAAAGCACTGAACCCCAAAGCTCAGCCCCCCACCCCCCTTGAGCATCCTCCTCACTGGCGTCTCTCCATTAATGCATGTCCATAGGTTCTGTTTGTGCATGTGTGTATTAAGAGCATATATGTGTGACTAGCATGGCTCTCAACAACAGAGTGTAAACCAGACTTTCCACTTAAATTAGATTAATAAAGCATACAGGAAATTCACCCAAGAAACTGGTCATCCATTTTCACACATAAGTGTGTGAAAATATTGTGTTACTTCCTAAACCAACATAATTTTCCTGAATCTGACCTATGTTGTTCTTTGCCTAGCAAATCTTTTGTCTTCATGTGTCTTCATGTGTACAGGAGAAAAAACATTTGTGACCATGTGCTTCTGTATGACACGCAATAAACACTACCTTAGAAGTCTGCTTGAGGCACAAAAAATACCTTTTTTTAAAAGAGACATGAGTTTTTAATGACCTGGGTTGAGATTGATTGGATACAGAAGTTGTGTCTGATAAGCTGATCAGTGAAGTGGGCGACCAATAACCAATCAACCTTCTTTGAACCCTGAAAACCAGCCTACCCAGCCAGTGATCAAGCCCACATTGACTCCAACATTTCTGCACTTTGCCAGAGATGGCAGGACATGGAGACCCCACCAATTCAGACCTCAGGAACACCAAGTTCAAGACGCCTGAAGGGTAAAGGCTTATAGGACTGAAGGAAAGGTGACAGTTTGAGGTTATGGGAATGAGAAAGTTGAGGATGTACCCCAGAGTTAATGGTGTAGAGCGGGGGTAGGGATCATGTGTGAGTGGGGGGTACAGTAGGAGAGATTCTGTAGGGATGAAGGGATAGAGAAAGAGAGAGAAATAAAAACATAGGGTGAGGACAGAGAGTATGAATGAAAGAGTCAAAGGGGCGAAGGAGGGCTGTAGCAGCAGCAGTGTCATTAGAGCCTGTGGTTGTTCTGGCTGTAGTGTGATTAACACTGGGGTCACAGCCAGAGGCCACAGCTTGAAAGACACAGGCATATAAACATGCACACACAGAGACTCACACGCACTCCCAAAGGCCTTCCCTGCTGCCCCGTCTGACACTGCTTGGCACTGACCATTTATGAGGAAACAAAACACACCTCAAGACCACTAGATGAATAAACGCTGCTACTGTAAACTCAGATGAAGGGATGGATGTGGGCCTGGGGTGGGGGTTCTCGAGCTATGGCCTGGGACCAACAATGACATTCATATTTATATAGCCACCACGTGTAATAAACCAGCGCCCAATTGACTGTACTTTTAGCCCATTTTCACACCATGTCAACAAAAACAGCAGCTTGGTCAGTGGCCAGCGGTACAAAATATGAATTTAGATACCCGTCTGTAGTTTTGTAATGGCGGTAAGGTCAAAAGATGTAGTACAGAGAGCAAAAAAGTATATATTTGGGATGTTGTCAGAAGCAATGTTTAGATCAGTCAAACAAAAAGCTTTATTAGGAGACCAGGGTTTGACTCCAGCATGTAACAAAACAATAAATGTTGTGTTCTTTTAAGAAATTGACTTACTCTTAGTTACATATTGTACCAACGCTAAGTGATGCTACTTTAATGACATATTTACGTATAGTTAAGTAACATACTTAAGTTACGTAACTGAGATGATAGTACTTGTTTAGTACTTATTTAAACCCAAAACCATGTTTCTAAACCTTACCTAATAGATTTAGTGCCCAGTCCTAACCAAACTGTGACTGCTTTGCAATGTTAAGCATGTGAAGGTGATTGCTGGGTGTCCACCGGTCCTTAAAAAATGTGAATGGTTTGTCAGCAAGCTTAAATCTGAGCATGTCTGTTTTACACATTCTTTATAGCTAGCACTACCGTTGAGCCGTGTATCTGCCAAATTCTACGCTAGAGTACCAAGACTGTCATATTTTGAAGCTTGGTCCATGGGCCAACTTTCTGTGATTGATTTTTTGGCAGTAAGATTGTGTTGGTATTGTTGAACATAATGATGGATATAGACCCTTTCAGCATTTTTTTGTACAGTTTAAACTTTTGAACATGTAAATCAAAGTCAGACTCCTTCAGAGTAAAGTTTTCTTTTATTTTTACCTTCATCTTTTACTTTTTAGAGTCACAGCACCAAACAAACTGCAGTACAAATGCAGTTCCTTGAAGCATTGTTCACTTTCAAGCATCAATGCTATCCCCACATTACCATTCAGCCTCTGATGGAAGAGTTACCTCGAGTGCAGTGATTTCTGTCTGATAGCACTATTAGCTTGTTGGAGGAACAATCACTGTATTCTTGCAATAAAAAATCAAATCACTTTCTTTATTGCGCCTGGAAAATGATTTTACATGCGGTCCTAATCACATGGTGCCAAATGTACAATGTTACAAGGAATAGATTTTGTCACACCTGCAAACTACATCTCCAATAGCAGAACAGGGTAAAAGTAGGAACAATTATGAAGAATGTCGAGGAGCAAACTGAAGTCTGTGGTGGTGCTCCTGCAGCACAATGCGAGGGAGTCATTGAGGGCAGAGTTGTTAGAATAACAAACAATTTCTAAATCCAGGGGAAAGGTTAAAATAACTTTGTCTTGCCTCTTTGTGGTCAGCAAACTGGTCACTGATGCTACAAGTGTACTGTACTGGCACTACAGCAGAGATAGTGGAGGGGACAGTGTCTAATTTTTTTGCATGGCCTTTGGTACGCAGTCAACCCGTGCCAATTTAAAATAAAAAGTCTAACTCCAAAGCTAAGTCATTTGTAAGGAAATTGAGAAATTCCACAAAAGTTAGCTCATTTCATTGCTTGGAGTAAGATAGAGAGAGAGAGAAGCTTCTTACTGCTCTAGTGACAGGACTGTTAATATGAAGTTTTAACATAGACTATATACATAATGGACATAGCCACCGTCATAATTTAAAAGAGAAGAAAAGCAGTTTTCTCGTTAGGTTCCAAGCTTCTTCTTTTTTAATCAGTCAGGTTGCCCCCTGCTGGCCTAACAAACAATCTATGTTTGAGGCATATCTGCATTGGCTTCACATTTTAAACCAAAAGGCTATGTTAACTTCCTAAGTATGAGTCTAATTTAGCAAACAATTAGCTAAGCTAATCTTGGCTTCGCTGAGCACAAACGCTTGAAAAAGGGTGAAAAAGCTAGCCTGGCTTTTACTAAGGTGGCCTATGGGATTTTTTGACAGAGAATACGTTTTATTATGGTTGATATTTGTGTCTTTCATATATTTGTGACCCTGAAAACCTACCATATGTGACCAAATAGACCTTTTTTGTGTTTGTGCGACAGCCTAACTGCTGTCTGAAAGTTAGCTAGCGTTAGTTTGCTGTCAATTCACATCAGGAGGCTATTGAACATCTGGCGACTCTCTCTGATTACTTGTTTGGCAGTGGAAGACAAGTTGCCGTACAGTGACAAGCTAACCCTTAGCAATGTGGTGAGGTTTTCTGAGTCATACTCACTTTCGACTCAGTTGGTCAAGTATCCAAATAAATGGCCAAAGTTAAAGATGGCCAGACAACTTAGTATACACTGTGAAGAAACCCAGCATCTGTACTAAAGAAAAACTAAAGCCATACAAAACTATTTGATTCATACAATTTTGTACTTTACGTTCATGTTCTGGACATTGACTACATTCAGATTTGTAGATGTAGAAGGACAGACCTTCTGCCTAGCTAGCAGCAGGGACATTAAACACAGCTATATAAGACGTGGGCTTCCATAAACAAGTCAATCTACATACTGACAGGGAACTGCACTCTTTTTTAATTATTTAATTGATTGATGTATGTTAGAACAATGTGAATCACTATACTGTAAGTACTGCATCTTTATGTTTCTCTTTGTGTTTCTCTCCACTTGTCTGTGCTGGTTTTTGCAACCACAATGCGCCTGCAACTGCAGTGACAGAAAAGTGATCTCTACTCAAAATTGGTCTATTAAACCTGACCTAGCAAGCAAGAGGTCCATTTCATCCGTGGTCCTGGGTTGTTGTTCATT